AATGAGCTTTATTAAAAGCTATTGCATCAGACAATAACTATCAACCACAGTGGAACATTCATAAGTGCAGTGGAGAAGGTGAAGGCTAAGGGCTGTAAGACAGCACCCAGACCACCCACGCTATCAGGCATGCGCCCAGTTAACAGTGTAAGTTAAAGAGCTGATCACAATCAAGTGGGATTTATAAGATTCAGAAGTAAAGTTTACATAACAGAAAGGAAAAGGGAATGTTTATCAGATGAGCGAGTGTGAGTGTAAGTATGGTGTGTTGCAGAAAAGCTAGTTGATCGAGTACGTTTGAACTGAGGATATACACGAAGTATACTGAGCTCTCCCGTGTGTTATTTTCCAATTAAAATCACTGTACCTACAAGGCAGGGATTATTAACTCATCAGTTATTTAAACGTATTTATTCACCACCATGGCTGTCCCAGGCACTCTTCTATTTTCTGAGAAACAAGGGACAAATGAAACAGAGGAGTCAAGCTCTTAGTGGGGAGGAGTGAGCACAGCTAACAGCAGAGTGCAAGGTAGCATCACGTCCTGACCAGTGCTGTACAATCATCTTGAGACGTTTGAATATGGTTGGCTGGACTCGGGACCGACCCCAGATGTGGACTGGTTTGCTGAAGCATCAAAGCACTTGGGCAATTGCACAAGTTTCTTCCATTTTAAAGATCATCTGGAATAATTCAAACTCACTTTATCTTTTTTAAAACAGTGACAGCTTGCCACAACCCACACAGCATAGAATCCAAAGCTGGTGAGAGCAGTGGAAGATGAAGAAAAGAAGAAACCTTGACTATTCTTGAAGTTTGGGACCAGATGGAACCATAGCTTGTCAGGAGCTGATGGCTACCTGGAGCACCAGGAGCTCTTTCTTTGTAGTGGAAGGCAAACAGGAAGAGAAGGCCGGGCAGGTGGCCTACGTGGCCTCAGCGTAAGGTAGCGTGAGCGTTTCCCGATTGGGCATGCGCAGGAAGGTAACAGGGAAGGATACATTGTAACTGTCTCCCGGGCTATGCGGTCCAGTGTCTACAGTATCAGCCAAGCAGTGTCTGACTAGTCTATGGAGGAGAAAGGGAGTAGGGATTAGGCAAAGGGCCATCTTCAGGCTTGGCCCGTAGCAATTACTGCCTGTATGCCTTTACCAGATACCTTTGTGGTAGGTACTATACTTATGCAAATTTTACTAATAAGAAAAATACAACATACAAATTAGATAAATTGTCCAAAGTCACAAGGCATGTAATTGTTGTTTCAGTGTTTGAATTAATCTATATGTCTTCACAGCCTCACTCACATTTCTAAATGAATTTCATTCTCTGTCTCCTCCTTGTGGCCATTTTTTTCTCTGCTTTTCATTTTTCTTTTTTTACCCCCCCCCCTTGGGCCTTGATATTGTGGGCTTTCACTTTTCTCTATTCCCTTTTTCATAAATAATTCAGAATTAATTCACATTCTGGCCATTCTCTGGGCCCTAACCTTTAGGGTGCTCTTCCTGTCTTCTGAGATAGGCATAATGTGTGAGTATGGAATGATTTCTGAAGAATAGAGTTTCTGAAGAAACTCAGCATTTCTTTAAATGTATTCTAAATCAAAAAATATTCTACATTTGACAGCTATGTCCTGTTATCTTTTTGTGGTGAATACTCTTATCTGATGGAATTAACTCACATGAGAACAACAGGACAAGTCAGGGGTGATTCCAAGTTCTTGACTGAGGAATTCTAACCATGGAGTTCACATTTACTGAGATGAGGGAGACATTTGGAAATGGTCTCTCTTTTTTTTTTTATGTAAGTTTTAGATCTGAATAAATATGCCAGGAACCCAGCCAGCTGAATGGTCCTGGAGATCAAACAGGGACTTGAGGATAATGAATTTGCACACTGTCAGTATGTGGTTGTTACTGTAAGCCATGATGTGAATAGCAGATAAAGGAGGACCAGGATCTAAACTCTGGGACACAACAGTTTGAAATCAGTGAAAGAGTCAGTGAATCTGATGGAAGATTGGGAATGAGCAAAGTAAAAGGGAAACCAGGAGAATGGTGCCCTGGGGACCAAAGTATTTAGAAGAAGACATTGTTCTAAGAGGAATGGTAAGTTATGTAAAATGCTGCCTCTAGGGTGAAAATATGAATCTCAAGAAACAGCCATTGGATGTGTTTATACGAATATTAATGTTGACTTTGACAGGAAGATATTTTGTAGAAATAGAGAGGAGGGGGAAAAGACTAATTACAATGGGTTTTGGAAAACTGAAGGAGAAATAAACAGCTCTTTGAAACCATTTGTTCTTAAGAATATTAGAAAAATAGGGTCACAATGTGTTGGGGTGCACAAGTGGTGCTTTGTGCTTGTTTTTGAAATGGGGAATATTGTATCATATTTTTAGGCTGAATGGGTAGAGATTTTAAAAAGGGGAAATCGATAATATCAGAGAAAGAAAAATGGAGAAAGTTTCAAGTTCAAAACCTTTGTGTAGGTAGAAAGGATAGATTTTAAAATTCAGGTGGAGATTAACTGTAGATAAAAAGTGGTAGTAAATGTAATCATTATTGAGAGGGATACCACATTCCTTACAGGTGCAGATATTTTTACATATTTAGTTGGCAGAACAGAAGGAAGTCTCTTCAAGTTGTTTTATTTTCTTTCTTTGGGTGGGTACTAGAGATCAAACTCAGGACCTTTTGCTTGCAAGGCAGGAGGCAGAACCACTGAGTTAAATGCCTACCCCTAGATTATTTTCATTTTTTCGGGATAATTGAAAAGCAGATCACGAGTTGAATTTAAGGAAAGGGAAAAACAAATTAGGACATTCATAGGAACATTGATTAGTAAGACTGTTGAGAAAATAAAATTAGTTAATATGATCATTCACTGCTCATAAGAGATGTGGCCCAGATAAAGCTCTACTGAAAATGGAAGCAATCTCTTCAAAGACTAAATAGGTAAAACTCTTGAAAACACACAAGCAAGGGCTTTCCAGACTGAACCCCAGTTGCACAGAAATTGTACTAAGAACACATGGGATCTTATCAAATTGAAAAATCCTGCACAGCAAAGGAAACAACAGAGAGAGGAGACAATCTACAGAGTGGGAAAAAATTTCCAGGTATTCCTGAGACAGAGAACTAATATTTAAAATATACAAATAACTAAAAAAATTACAGCCCCCGAAATGAGTCAAAATTGGGCTACTGCAATAAATAGACAATTCTCAGAAGAAGTTCAAATGGAAATAAATACATGAAAAAAATGTTCAACATTGCTGGCCATTAGAGAAATGAAAATTAAATCTACACAGACTTTGTCTTACTCCAGAAAGAATGGCTACCATCAAGAAACCAAACAATAGGGCCGGGGATTTAGCTCAGTGGTTCCACTGCCTGCCTCACAAGCGCAAGGTCCAGAGTTTGATCCCTGGTACCAATAAAAATAATAATAATAAAAAAGTCAAATAATAACTACTGGCAAGGCTGTAGGGGGAGATACTCTTCTCCATTGTTTATAGAAACGTAAATTAACACAACCATTATGAAAATCTCTATGGAGATCTTGAAAAATCTAAAGGTTGTCAGGCCGGGAATTTAGTTCAGTGGCACTGTGCCTGCCTTGCAAACACAAAGTCCTGAGTTCTATCCCCAGTACCAAAAAACAAAAACACACAACTAAAAGTTGAAATTCTTTTTGACTGAACTATATCTTCTAGATATCTTCTCCAAGATATCATATTACAGAGATCCATGCATACTCACGTGTACAGCAGCACAATTCATAATAGCTAAATCTTGCAAGTGGTCTATATGTCCATCAACAGATGGATGGATAAATAACAAGTGGCATTTATACAAAACAGAGTAGTACTCCACTATGAAGGATAAACTTGAGTCATCTGTAGGAAAAAAGATGCTCCTTGAGATCGCAGTATTGAGTAAAATAAATTAGACACACAAGCTTAAATTTAAATATTGCATGGTTTCTCTTTTATAAGAAGAGAAAGAAAAAAGGGGATAAAAATTGAGATGTGTTATGTACATGTACTAACTCTTCACAAGGAACGCTGTTCTTATCTAATGCAAACACATACTAATAAATATAACAACTAAAAAGAGAAATATAAATAAAGTATAGAGGCTTGACAGCCCAGTGACCCCCATATGTATCCAGTGTTCTCTATAGGTAATCTTCTTGTTCCAGCACTATTTATGGCTATGATTGCCCAAAAGTCCACCTTCTGATCTTTCCAGTCTGAAAGATACATGTTTTCCACTGGAGTTTCAGCTGTCTGGATACATGGTGACTGCAGGCTGCCTTCATGTTAAAGAGACTAACCAAATTTAAAACAAAATAAGAAACAAAAAATACCTTTCTGCATGTCTTTCTCATTCTGCCCAGACTCCACTATTCTTTTGCTCTCCTGAAACTTCAGGTAATTATTTTTAAAATCTTGTCTTGCTGTCTTATCTCTACTTGATGTGATTGACAGCAAACTAAATCTCCTCTCTCCATAAAGAATTGACTAATTTTGGACTCGTAAAACAGACAACTTGACTGCTTTTACTGAGGATCGAGCTCAGGATCTTTGCATTGAGCTACATCAACATTTTGAGAGAGGGTCTCTCTAAGTCACTAAATTGCCCAGGCTGGGCTTGAATGTAAGATCCTCTTGCTTCAGCCTCTCAGAGTATTGGTACTACAGGCATGTGCCTTCAAGCCCTTCTCCGCTTGATTGTTCACATACTCAGAGCAGCCTGAGGATCAGGGGAAATCCCCATGAAACGAAAATTTCTGCTGAGCCTCAGCCTGCTGAGCCTTCAAGTGCCTCCCTCACATCAAGGAACAATGCTGTTTCAGTTTGAGATCTGCAACACTGTAATTCTTCAGAAGAACATTAGGCTCTTCTCACTTTCAATGCCAAGGTACTGTCATTCTGTCCTTGGGGAGGGGCAGTGGGGTGTGTCTTGGGTCAACATCTACGTAAAAGATCCTAGCCTTGAGAAGCACAGCCTCACTCAGGCCTGAAGATACTGACACATTTACCTCATTTGCAATAGTGCTTTCTTCTACAATGTCCCATGAAGTGACCTATGCGACGCTCACATTTCAAGATTCTTCTAGAGCAAGAAATAACCAAGACAGAAATAACCTTAAAAAAAGAGGTAAGAGTTCAAATAAAATGAGCTGTGAACTTGGAAATGACAGGGGTTTTGGCTTTGAGATATTGGCCTTGATGCTGATGTCACAGAGACATGTGCGGAGGAATCTCAAAAATGGAGACAATCATTGTGGAACAGATAGTAAGGTGAAGGCCTCCACTGGTGAAGAGCTTATGTGTAGCTCTGAGGACTTCGTTTAACTGTGTGATATCAACGTGTTCATGAAGATTTACATTGTAATGAAAAACTTTGGTTGGATGTATCAGAAATTCAGTCTGAGAACCAAGAGATTTATCTTTATAAATAATATCTATTTATGTCTTGAGGAATATTCTTTTTGAAGCCAGATTGGAGGTTTTAAAATAGAGATTTTAAAGTAGAGGAAATTCTTCTGTTCGGTGGCTGAAATAACTGAAGGGAAAAACTGGAAGATGTCCAGGTTAGAAATCGACAACAACTAATCTCTTAAGTATTATTTTTAATTTTGGGTAGTTGAAATCTAAAGCCAATTTTGTAATATTGAATCAATAAAAACAATACCTGTACAGTGTTGTATATATATTACATAATATCTTTCTCAGAATATAACTGTGAATTAAACAAAATAATATTGGAATTTACTTCCCCATATAGATGAGAAAACTGAGGCTGAAAGAAATTAAATTATTTAGCCAAGTTTACATGACTATACGTATCAGAGCCCAGCCTCCGTTCCAGCCTTCAGCTCATCCCTTGCACTCCAGTGGAGGAAATGCAGTCTCTGTGGCTGGACACCAGCTGGGTGTAAAAGTTCACATCCCATAGCTTAAGGAGGGCTGTGGCTGTTCTGGCTGTCGTGAATCACCTGAATCACATGAACAACTTTCCTCTGTTCTTTAGATTTGTTTTTGTTTGTTTGTTGATGTATCTCTGTGGGCAAGCGTTGTGGGGGAGAAGGTTATATGAAAATATGATGAGAACAGGTTTTGCATCTGCCTAATAAAGGTGACTATACATCTGAGCTTTGTTAGGTTTTCAGATTCTAATTCATGTGCTGGTACACCTAGGCACTGTATTAAACTATTAAAACATGGAGTTGCTTGCAGTTCGGACTTGTCTGGTCTATACTACTATTTGTAGGTTGGATTGTCATTTTTTGTTCAGAATTTCTCATTCTTAGGGAAATAGTGTGAATAATGTAAAAGTTAGTTTTAAAAAGTAGAATCCACTTTTATAAGGCAGGTAGAGCAGCATCTTGAAATTTGAAGTCTCACTGATTCTTAGCATCATCCAGAGAAAAAGCTTTCACAATGCAGCACTGTGAAATCAATGAATGAGAAAAAGAATGGAAGGTGATGAAGAAAAGAATGCTAAAAGTCTGGAGAAAATTACTGTTCAAAAACAAGACAGTAGCAGAGAGATGGAAAAGGACGGGTGCTTGGGGTCTTATCACACTTCATGTCAGGAATTTTCTAAAGAGTGTATTGAAGGAACTAGAGAAATTTTAATTGCTGGATGCTTCCTAAATGGGAGAAATGAACCTCTCATGTGCAGGGGCTCCAGCATCCCCTTTGCTCATCCCTCTGTTGGCTTTCCAGGGAATCCAGCTCCCTCCCCTGCATGGCGGCAGGTTGCCCTCAGCCTGCTGACTCTCTGCCTGCTGCTGCTGATTGGGCTGGTGACATTGGGGGTTATGTGTAAGTACATTTGCGGCAGAAAGTAGAGTGATTAGGAAACATATTTGTAAGCCAAGTCAATTTAGCTAAGATTATAAACATTATTACAATCCCCGAATCCTCTAATACTCTTCTGCAGCCTCCTATCTTTCACAAACTGCATGTCCAGCAAGGGACATATTGTATGATTGTGAGGATTCTGCCCCATATTTATTCTTTTCTGTTGATGAAGTAAATAGGCCCATGAAGACGACTTCTACTTTACTACTTAATACTTAGGATAAGGAGCCTTTTCCTCTCTAGACACATGCCCACTTATTAGTCGAACAGTGACAATCAGGGAGTCAAGGGAGATGTATTTAAAACAAGGGATCCCATTTCGCTAACCTTGAAAATTTCACGTAAGAGTACCTTAATCTAGAACCTTCTAGTTATAGAGAAATCATCTAAGTAGCAGCAGCAACCTGACTTGTACAAATAAGAATGGCATACAGATGAGGCGGGAGCAAGAAAGAGAATTGAACCATCTCTGCAGAACATCACAAGCCCCATTCCCCAGTGCCTTAGCCAAAAAGAGTTTTTCTCTTGACTCTGATCCACCCTTGCGCCCTGGGAGTGAGAATCGTAGACTAACATCCTGGATATAAATGGACAACGCAACCTGAAAATACATATTTTATAGCATGTTGGTATAAAAAGCAGTGGTTTGCCATAGAAGTAACTTTCAGGGGACCTGCAGCCAGAAAAGCTTATTTGTTGAATGATACTAACATCCCCTCTAATACACTAATTTCTTTTTGTGTATGTAAGATCTTGTGGAAAATTAAGATTTGGACAAACCTCTTTGGATAGATAGAGGTTTATGATGTAGCTTGTTCCTGGGACAAAAGAAGTGATGTTCTAGCAGAGATGACAAGTATTCAAGAGCTCAACACTATGAGAATTATCAGTAAATCTTTTACAGTGACAGAGACTTTAAACTCGAGTCTGGGCATGGTGGCACTCTGGGAGGCTGAAGCAGGGAGATAAGTTCAAGCCCAGATTAGACAACTTAGTGACTTAGCAACACCTTGTCTCAAAAGAAAAAAGAAAAAAATCAAAAAGGGCTGGGGATGTAACTCAGAGTGAAGGTGCTGGGTTCAATCCCTAGTACACCAGAAAAAGAAAAGAACGAAGATGTAATGATACACTTTCACTGGTTCACCATAGAAGGGTGAAGTCTTTTCCTAATATTCTGTGCTTTTAGTGTAAGTGTTCATAATTGATTGTGCAGCTTATAAATCAATAAAAATGAAGATTTAGGGGCCCATGACTAAAACTTATCTGATATATGCCAATAAAATCTGCTTAATTTTTTTTAAACAAGTATTCCTGGTAGTCTGCAGACCATTCTTTGTCCTAAAGAATTCTGTCCCTATTAAAACTATAATCATATTAACAATTCAAATTTCAAAATCCCACCAGTATTAAAGGCAAGATACCTGACACCACCTTAGATAAAATGTCAGCTATATAATTACTAATTCATTACTTGAGTGCTAGTACAATGGTAATTAAAAATCGAAAAGATTATAAAGATGAACTATAAACAATTCAGAATAGAAAGGTATCCGGTGTGTTTTAGTCTTCATTTTGTCTCAATTATTAAGAGATACTAACAAATATTAAACAATCTAAGCACTATCTCCATGTCAAGAGAATAACTGATGACTATTTGAGAAAGAATATTATGAACTGGCCTCCTGTTTTATTTTGGAGTGCTGCAGATGTCTAGGGAAATGAACTCAGATTCAGAGAAACTGAGTCAGCTTCCAAAAGTCATTCACCACCAGCAGGATAATTTATCCCAGCAACTGGACAACAACAGGACCTTCTCCATGGAGAAGGAATTTCTCAAATCACAGGTATCCAAAACTACTGAAGAGGCAAGAGCAGCTGGCCGTCCAACTCTGCCGAGAGCTAATCACTCATACCTCAGGTAGGTAGATCTGCTAACTGGTCAGATAGAACTTATTGTTCTGATTTCAGTTGCTGTGTGGGGTACACTGAGGTATGAGAATTATGTCATCGATACCCCTACCTGATGTCACACAGAGTTTGCAGCAGATAAGGAAAATACAGATTTATTAACAATCTTAGAGTGATGCCAATATGCATACTTCAACCTCTCATTTTTATTAATGCTGCCTGGTGAGGATGTTGTTATAGAAGTTAAAAGCATAAGTGGTAATTCTGAGGCCAGAAGACTGAACTCCGAAAAGGGACTCTCCATCACTCTGACCCATAACCAGAGATAATTTCATCTTCAAAAACTCCTTAAAACAATACATTTTGAGGGTTTGGGCTCTCAGATCCTATTGTGCAGTTAAATGATTTACATGTAGTTTCCAGCATTTCCCTAGTCACCTGAGAGTCACTGAAGCTGTACTGTAGGGTGTAATTTCCTTTTTAGATCACAAATGTAAACCTTGCCCTAAGGCATGGCAATGGCATGGAAACAGTTGCTATCATTTCACAGTAAATGAAGATAAAACCTGGAGCAACAGTAGAAAAGACTGCAGAGAGAGGAACTCCACCTTGGCGAAGATCGATGACTTGAGAGAAAAGGTATGTCTGGGTCTACTTCCCTGGTGATAGCAGTTATCTACCCAGTGAGACACAATGACGTGATATCCATGTGATGGAAATCCGATGGGTCATGGACGAAAATTAAGGATGTTTCTCTCTTATCTTTGCAAACTGAAGTATGGCTTGCTCATAAAGTCTTTCTTCTGTTTTCTCCCAAGGATTTTATAAAGTCACAGCCATTAGCCATGACTTCTTTCTTTTGGCTGGGACTATCATGGCTCCCTTCTGGCAGAAACTGGCTATGGGAAGATGAGTCGGTTCCCTCTCCATCCTTGTAAGTCTCTAGGTATTCAGGTTGGGAGACTAAGTTTCGCACAGAATTCTAAGAAGATAAATGTGAATTTTTAAGACTCATAAATCTAGGTACGAAAAAGGAGCAGAGCCTACGAAAAGGTCAATAACAAATAGTATAAGGAAGGGTAACTAATTTCATCTCTGTGATACAATCATGGCAAGGCCCTGAACTTTACCCATATAAATTTATTTCTTTACTTAACATATGTAACATGTATGTAAGTATTGAATATTGGTACCTTCAAAGTTCTTGAAGAAAACACTGTTGTATAAACGTTTTTGTAAATAAAAATGGTGTTAAGATGAATTAATTAAGTTAATTAAATATTGAGAAATTAAATGACCTGTTCAAGATCATACTCAGCTCCAAAGTGACAAAAATCAGGACTGAACCCTTCAGGGACCATGTGTTCATCACTCAGCCATTCTGTTCTCCAGCACAACAATCCAGAAGGACAGTGTTTGTCACAGGAACACAGTTTAATATGCTTGTTTTTAATAAGTGCGAGCCATTTTCTAATAGAAAGTAAGTGTGAAGTGACTCCTTAGTTCAAGAATTAGTTTCATGATGAGAACTTGCCAATTAGGCATTGTGGCTAATACCTTCATGGCTTAAATAAACTATATATATATATATTACTTCAAAGTTTTTATTTATATATATATATATGAAACACTTGAGAAATTGCATTCTTACAGATACCTAACATCATGAATAATTAGATGTTAATGTAAAAATATCTCTTGGCAAATTGCCCTCTTCTGTATCCACTGTAAGAAGGCCTGAGAAAAAGACAGCCCCCCAGGGAGGCAGAAGTCCAGGTGCTACTTCCGGTCAGGCTGGGTCCTGTGCAGGAGCCAAAGACACACGGTATGGGCTTGTGAGTGTCCTATCTCTAGATCACAGCTGTTGTGTCCCTGGGTGGGCCGAGCACTGAGGCTCTGCTGTGGCGAGAAGCTCAGCAGGATCATAAACTTCAGTATCAGAAAAGCATTCAAGATGCAAAGTTTAAGGAAAGAAAAATTTTAATTGGAAAGGGGTGAAAGGAGAGAATAGATAGCTGCCCTGATAAGAACTGGAATAGGGGGAAAATGGAAAAGTGGTTATCTACGGCCTTTGTCCCTGGCCTCTCTCTCTTTTTTGGGGGGGCGGTTACCGGGGATCGAACTCAGGCCCTTGTGCTTGTGAGGCAGGTGCCAGAACCACTGAGCTAAATCCCCAGCCCCCTGGACTCTCTTATAAGGCCATTTCCACCCCAGCCCAAACCTGCCATAACTGGACTGACTTCTGGGCTAATGTCATTTCTTCATGCAGCTTCTTTCTCTTTTGTCTGTTTGCATGTCCTTACTTTTTAAGGCCTTATCTTTGGGTTGGGTGGTGGCTTGGCAATCGGGTATCTTATTCATGGTTACTCTAGAGTTAACAAGAGTGTGCATGGATTATGTATTGTTTTCTAGATGATAAATGTAGTGAGCCTAGAGTGGATAATATAGTAATTCTAGAGAGAATCTGTATGTACATGTATGTTAGTGCATAGTTGTGAGTAAGAGCTTTTCCAAAATTTAGCCTGTGTCCCTTCCTTTATGTCTCCCTGTATTGTAGTGGCTGCCATTTTACCTTGGCTTTGTGCGCTTGGCTCCCTGTGACCTGCCCTTCAGCACTCCCTCTCCCTCTCTCTCTCTTTCTTTCTCCTTTTCTTTCTTTCTTTCTTTCTTTCTTTCTTTCTTTCTTTCTTTCTTTCTTTCTTTCTTTCTTTCCTTTCTTTCTTCCTCCCCCCCATCTCTTGGTGAAAATCCCAAGGCCATTTGGTGCCTTTCTTTATCTGTTTTTTCTCTTTCTCTGCTGCTGTCCTGCACTTACTTCCCAGAGGAATCCCTCTAGTGAAGTTTTAACTCTTTCTAGTCAGGATTAGCCAGAAGATCTAATGAGAGCTTATTCTATTTTCTTATCTACAGACCGCTGCCGCTACTTGTCATGAAAAAATCCTATTGAAGTTTCTCCAGAAGAGCAAAATTTTTAAAAATGTATAAGTGATCACATAGTTTTTTTTTGCAAAATTCTTTAGAGACTATAAACCAAAAATTTTGATGACTATTTAGTATAGAACTATATTTAAAGTGCCCAGTTTTATTCCTATTTTAAGTGTAATGCATATTTTTTACATTGGAATGAAATTGAGAATCATTAGATCTTTCTGTATATATAATTATTTTCTTCCCTTCCCTCCCACATCAAGTAGTTACTTCTCTTTTATTCTGTAATTTTTATCACTAATGTTTTCTTTTCTTTTCGTTTTAGAGAATAAAAGGAAATTTTATTTTGCTTTGGAAGTTTTTATTAATATATGTTTACAACACATTTTAAATACATCCGTCATGGAAAATTGGTAGATATCCATATCAAATTTTGCTCCATTTATTTCCTCCACCAACTTTCCTTGAATAAAGTTAAAATCACTCATTTTCGGCCAAAGGTGCTATGATTCAGCTTTCAACCACCAAGACCTTTGAATTACAATGATGTGTTTATTATTTTCTCCTCAGATGCATTTTATTTTATTTTTCCCCAAAGTTCTGCCAAGACTATTTCTACTCAAATATTAATTTCCAAGTCCCTAATCACCATTACTGGTCACAGTAAGTTGATTACTCTAGTTTCACACAAATAAAATTGGCAGAACCCCACCTGCACAATGAAACACATCAAACAAAGATGGCAGTTACTTTCTTTTGCAACTAGAATAATATTGGACATGTGGTGGTTAACATTAATCTCTGGCACTCAGTGTTGCTAAACAGAAAGCTTACAGGAATGGTACCATGATGCAGCATAACTGCACTCAGGTTTCATTTTTTAATCTAAGAAGTTTTTCTTCTAATAAAGGATTTTGATTATGCTTGGCCCCTCCCTCCTCCAACCCCAGCTCAAGTGAGCTCCTCAGAGGGTTCAGAGCCTGCAGACAGGGACTCCTTGGTCCCTGTAGCTGTCAGGAAACCACACATCATACTCAGTTCGTGAGACTACGCGTCAGGTGTACACAACTCACTTCCTTAGTTCCCGAGTAAAAGCACTTGGACCGCGTGTGCACACCAAGCTTCGGCCCAGTCCTGAAGCAACACAGTAAGATGGCGAGTAATGGAGACCCCTGGGGAGAGGCATTACTGAGCACATGGAAGATTTAGACTGGATAAGGATAATATTTTGATGATATTGTTTGGGGTTTAGGATCAACTTCTTACCAGAGGACTTGGGGAATATCATTAGAACCACAGATAGTCATTCTTTTCCCCCTTAACCTGTTTTATTCTCTCATTACACCCCGAGTGTACAAATACATGCAAAATTATCTTTCCATAGTAATAATTCTGTAGCAATAACATTTTTCATAAAATATGATCTCATGCTTTGTTTTTCTTAAAGTTTTATGAAATAAAAATGTTAATATTTCTGATTTAATCTGGATTGAGTGGATTCCAGGAAGAGAAAACACATGTTGGTGAAAGGAATGCAAATTCTCAATTTAGGACTTAAATATCCTTAAAGAATTCTACCTGAGATCCCAATTAACTTGAAACAAAGAAGTCTGATGTGCCAATGTTAGGGATTTTGATGCTTTGTGGAGATAGAAGTCTCTCGATATTCACGATATTGACTACTGAGAACAAGCCTCAAATACAGTATTTGCCATTAATTTTTAAATAAATTAATTTTCAGGTTTAGCAATAAAGAACTTGACCAGATCAATGGATCCAAAGGATGTGCTTATTTTCAAAGAGGAAATATTTATGTTTCTCGCTGCAGTGCTGAAATTCCTTGGATTTGTGAGAAGACAGCCACACCAGTGAAAATCGAAGATTTGGATTAATGTGCTTTTTTCTAAATTCACTAAATATTAAAGAACTTGTGATTTGAAACCCAGTATGAAAAGAAAGAGTTACGCACTATAGCCGAAGGCAGATTAAAAAGTGACTGTGTATTTTACCTACTAGGGAATGGAAGGTCCTTCTCAGAGCCGTCTCCACTGCGGGATCAGATGCCTTCTGATCCAGTGGTGCTTGTCCTGCAGGACTGAGGTCGCCCCTGGGGTCTTAAAGCAGTGCTTATTCTACGGCTCTATTATTCTCTCTCAGAATACTCTCATTGAATTTACTCACTCTCAGATAAAAAACTCTTTTCTTGCTTTGTGTTTACACATTACCACATGTTCTAGGGTGATATTTAAATATTAGTAGCCAGAACTGACAAGGGCCACAGTGTGGAGCAAGCTGTAGGAAACTTCTGTTGTATAGACTGCTGGATCATGTGGGAATTTGGAAGACCCCAAGGTGAGAGAAGTGGTAGCTGGGGCAGCAGCACTGGGTGAGCTGATTTGGAAATAGTTCTGTAAATGTTTGTCTGAAGGACTGTATACCAACTAAGTATTTGCTCCATGTGCAAAATAACGCTTCCTCCCCTATATTACTATGAAAACGCATTTTCATTAATCTTTAAAATGTAAATAACTTATGATCTGGAGGAAGTAGAAATAGCACTTTGTGTGTATATTTTATCATTTATTTAAATGAGTAACGGGGGGATTATTGATTTACTAATCGGGGTACTATCATTTAAAACCTTATCCTATTAAAATTGATATTTTATTTTTTAAGAAAAGTACTAATAAATTTGTTGGAAGATATGAACTTATCAGAACAATTTTGTTTGAGAACTTCCCTAGAAAAGACTTTGTTGGTGACTGCACATTAGGTACTAAATCTTGTAAATTTAGATTTTTTGGAACAATATTGTTGATTTTACAATATTGGTAAAAAAGCATAGTTTTAATTTTCTCATACAATTTTATAACTATAGTCTAAAGAGGAAAGTAAAGTAGCCTGTGATATTTACTTTCATAGAACAATGATCTATAATTTACTATAAAATTGAAAATAATATGTATATATCATGAATGGCATTCAAGAGCAAAGCCAGTTGCATTTCAAAATACTCTGCAAGAGCTTCATCAATACCATCTAGTGGCTCTGAAGATTTAAACAACAACCTAATCAATGTTTTATTTACATACCAAAAGATGCTCTAACATAATGTAATAAAATACAGTGTAAATGTTTACTAAGATTTTCAAACAAAATATACAGCATTCAAGAATATGTTTAAATGTAGATCAGATTTTTATTATAGTTTAGGTGAACAGTGTTTACAGATTTGCATTTAAGACTGAAACACACACAAAAAAGACTGAAACAAGAGTTACTTACATATGGATGTAAAAAGCAACTTTATTCTTTCATTTCTTTTCAGTCCTTTATTTTCACTCCTACTATCACAAACAAAGATGAACTTATTCATAAAAGGTAAAAAACTCTGCGCCTGACCCCCCACACTTGGGTTTCTCTCTATTTTCTTGAAAGATAAGTTCTTCTGGTATTCCTCTATTTCTACCCAAAGAATGATCTATTAATAACATACATGTCCTTGTTGTTTTGCTTTGTTTCTATGAAGAGGATTTTGTTTCTCACTTGGCATCTCGTATCTTTTTATTCTTACCTCGAGTACATGCTGACTCTTACACTCATTAAAAGAGACAATTTCTGTGTCTGACCCTCGGTCAGGACGCGCCGCCCTCAGCCTCCTCCCTGCTGCTTTGCAGTCATGGCGCCATCACCAGCAGCACCCGGTGAAGAAATCTAGAGTTCCTGGGATACAGCCACCTTCTGTGTGTCAGACCACGTCGTCATCCAGTATCATCATGGCTTGTAAAACATGGCTTGTTCCAGGGCATCTCCATCTCTCTCTTCCCATCTTCTCCAGAAAAAACTCAAGTGGTGGTTAACTGGGCCTCAATGCTACATTCGAAATGGGGTCTGGTAGCGATTTGCTGGCTGACAAATATGGGATCACACGCATGTTCCATTTTCCTGAAGGAACCGCAAACTGAATTTTTGTGCCCCTCATGTGGGCATGTTCTTGTTTTAATTGCCAAGACCAGCAGCCTCCCAGAAGCCCCATTTTTCCACCTGGACGGGACCAGTGAGCCATGACTTGCAGTCACTCAGTCGGGACTAGTGCTTTCCACCGGTTTGCGCCCCTCATTTACATTGCGAATCAGAGAATTCGGGCCAGAACTTTCTCCATATAAGCCAGCCCATCTCTGCTCCTTCTGAACATGCTTTCTTTTTGTAATGAAGGCTGCACCTTCCCAGTTTGCAAATTTATTTTTTGTTTGCTTTTTATTTTTAAATAAAGCCTCCTTTTTTTCAGTTTTAAGTGGAATTTATAAAACTAAGAGATAAAGGGTTGTTAACAAACACAGTAACAAATGGACATCAACGGGTATGAGGCATTATCCTGTACACATAGTGTGCGTGCATGTGTGTGTGTGTGTCCTCAGTGCATAGCATTTACACACAGAGCCACTGCTGCACAAAAATATCTGAAGAGGCTGGATTAATGTAAGGCAGTTTAACAGACTGAAACTTTTTAGTATATATTCTGTATGAAAACAGCTTGAACTTTTGAATTGGCAGGTAGAAGGCAACTCTGCCAAATGCTACAGTTAAAGCCCCCACCTGAGTGCACCATTCCACCCCATCCATCTGGATGCACAACACATGAACAGTACAAAGACTCCTTTTTATCTTAAATTCTTTCCCAGTGAATTTTTCTTTGAAATTAGATATAGATGTCAAAAGACCTTACACACACATTACATACACTGTCAAAATTCCTAGGGAAAAGCCACATTTTATATTTATTTTAGGTAACTTTTCTTCACTCTGTAGTGGCCACGAGGCTTCCAAATCTGGCTTCACTCCAGATTTAATGGAAAATCTATAAACAGCACAGATTTTCCATGCCATTGTCTCAAATCTATGACATCAGAGTAACTGAGGGCAGGACTGGTGCACTTTAAATTCCACAAAATCTGAAGTGATCCTTGGTATCCACCCTGGGTATTTGACAATGTTCAACTAAATGACCTCAACATTAACCTTCTGAACAAACAGCCCAGAGGTAAATGTGCAGCAACCAGCCCCAAGTTGGATGGCTTTTTTCTCCCCTGCAAAATCAGCAGGAATAATTTGGGCAGTCATAGGATCCATTATTACATCCATGGGGTGGAGGTAACTACCATCTTGCCCACTATGTAACCTATGTAACCCCAGTGTTACTGTGGATGATGGAGCCTAGGACAGGTTCCCAGGTTCTTGTGCTTCATAAACAAAGAAATGCATGTGGCATGCGATGGTAAGGAAAAGGCAGGAAAGTTTGCTAAGGCAATAGTATGCTCCTTCCTGGAAAAAGAAAATTGTACAACAACCACTGAGGGCACAAGACGTAGGGCTTTGAAATGTTGTGACCCTTCTGGGGGGCCTCCCGCTGGGGGTCCTCTAGAGCACGATGGACAACATGATTGACAGGGTTCTGAGTCTCGTCAGCTGCATCTGCTATGCATGTCCTTTTCTATAATTCACCCTGTGATAATTGGAGGTAGGGGATGCTGTCCACACGCATGAGCCTTCAAGGCTACTGCAAGTCATGATGGCAGGTCTGGTGCACATGCGTCCTGGTTTGAAAGTCTGGAAATTCTCCCAGTTTGGGAGGCTTAGAGGTCTTGGCTTTTCTTATATCTGCCTCCCCATGGTAACCGAAGGGCAAGGTGTGGGAGATTTGACCCCAGGGCATTGCTCAGGTTCAGGTGAGTGGAGAGCAGTGGTCCCATGTATTTATCATGCATTCCAAGACCTATAGGTAAGTAAAGCCATTAAGATAGCTAGATGAGCTCTTCCTGTTGGCCATTGATATCCAGGCTATTATAATCGCTGTTTGACACATTCATAGTTTTTGAGAAGGACCAGGTATATTTTCTGTTGACTGAGGCCCAACTTTGTCTAGCCAAGCAAATAAAACTGTTTGTCCTGCTTTGAGGTGCTGGAATCTTCTTTTCTTCCTCTTCAACATGGTCTAATTTTTTTTTTTTTACTTTTTGTGTACTGGGGATCGAACTCAAGACCTTGTGCTTTTGAGGCAGGCATGGTGCCACTGAGCTAAATCCCCATCCCCTCCACTCATATATGTTGTGTAATTGGAAAAAGTGATTTTCTTTCTCCCAAGGAGAGAAATGTGAAGTCTTAGTAATGTACTCCTGTCATTAATCTGCAAATAGCTGGCAGTCCGGGCAGAATATGACATTTCACTATTTTGCAATGTCTGAAATGTTTTTTTAGTTAAGCAATTACCCCTAATCAGCTCTTTGGAGAACGTTTGCATTTGTATTCTGCAAGCCTAACATAGTTTTATTGGGTTTCTGTGAATGGTCTTCATCATTATTATGATTTCTTTTACTCTGTATGTGACATTGCCCAAATCTACTGTTTCTTCTTTGTTAGATGAAAGGAAAAGATAATGAATCCTGTCTCCAGCCTCTTTATATGCCACCATCATGCATCTGCACATAACATGAACAAAAAAATTTCAAATTCAACACTTGCACTTACATGTATCTTTCTGGGACAGTGGATAATCTCCCTTTCTCATACTTTAATCTCTTTGCAGCAATCAGAGGAAGTGCTCTGTATAGTGAGAATCGGTGTGCTACATCTTCACCAATTCCACCTTCTCCCACTAGTGCACCTGCAGCTCTTTTATGTGTTGAATATTTGAAAGCCTTGTTGGGAGGGTGAGGAATGTATTTTAGCTACAAATGCTAAAGAAACATGTAAAACATATTCTAAGACCAAGCCCACCACCAATCCCAAAGATAAGGTAGGTAGTTTATGTCTTTTCTGTGGGCTTTTAACCATCAGCCATTAACTGAAATTTAGAAATGAGATAATCTATGCTGACCTAGTTATCATCTATTTACTTCAGGGCCCAGACTATAGTAAAAGGCAGACTAGAGAGGCTGTTTTGTTATTGTCCTGTCACCTACTGATAGTTTGGTGCCTTATTGTTAGTATTGCTTTTCTGTTTTTCCTCTAACTGTGTAGAAATATGAATGAGCATTCTGTCATCCATCCTTTAAACAGTGGCCTTGTATAGAGAGGATGCTAGAAAATAGTGAAGTGATTTTTATTTCTCACCATTTGCATTAGCATACATTTGCAGTACATGATACTTCCATTCCTTGAAGGGAGTTGGAAATGCATATAACACATCTTGACTCCTTTTTAAAAGTCCCCTTCATCTCCCCTTTCTCCCCATCCATCTCTTGTTCCCTTTCCATTTGAGAAAGACGTAACTTTCTGTTTCCTGTTATTTATATTTTATTTTTACTTTTTATTTAGATTTTGGGATTCCCATATAAGAGAAACCATGTAATATTTTGAAGTGGTTTTGTTGTTTTTGTTGGATCAGGGATCGAACTCAGGACCCTGCGCTTGCACCGCAGACACAGCTCCACTGAGCTAAATCCCCAACCCAAAATTCTGTCCTCTCCCTGGACCTCAGCCTCTCTCTCCAGCTGCAACACTTAATAGTACTGATGGTTGGGTGTTTTGTGTGTGTGTGTGTGTGTGTGTGTGTGGTAGTCTGGGGGTTGTATTTGGGAAATTTGACTTTACTGTAAGAAACAATTTCCTTTCCATGGATCATTTTTTTCCTGTCTTTGTATGTTGGTTTATTTTTTTTTTTTTAAGGCAGGGTCTATCTTGGTTGTTCAGGCTGGCCCTGAACTCACTATGTAACGTAGGCTGGCCTTGAACTCACAGCAATCCTGCTGCCTCAGCTCACAAGGGTATGCCACCATGCCTGGCTCTCATGCGGTATTTAAGCTTGTGTGTCTGATTCGTTTCACTTAAAATTATGGTCTCAAGGTACCTATATTTTCCTAAAAATTATTCAAGTTCATCCCTTGTGGCAGAGTAGTACTACACTGTGTATAAATGCCGCATTTTTGGCATCCATTTATTTGTTGGTGGGCACATATCTGCTTCCAAGATTCAGGTGTTGTGAGTCGTGTTGCTATGAACACGGGTATACATATATCACTGTTATGTGATGGCTCTAATTCTCTCTGGAAGGTAACAAAAAGGAAACAGGACAAACAGAATTTCTACTTTCAATTTTTTTTGAGGATCACGGTACTGAAATGCATACAATACTATATGATTTCCTCTTATAGGAGAAAGTCAAATTATCACTAAGGAGCAAAATGAGAGCCAGATAATAGGAAGTAGAGGAATAGATCTTTCTCAATCTGAAAGTGGATGGAGAGGTGGAAGGAGAGGGGAGGGAAAGGAGATAAAGGAAAGTAATTGAGATGTGCTATGTGCGTGTACCAACTCTACACAGAGCGTAAATGTTATGCACCGCAAACACGTGCGAATAAGAAGAAATTCCTGATGTGATGTTGGCTTGTACTGTAACTGTTATTGTCCTGTGTTACGTGCAAAATCAAGATTACCTGTGAAACACACCTCCATTCAGTAACTACGAAAACGTGGAAAAACGATGGATTCATTTCCCTCAGCAATGCACAGGTAAACTTAGAAGTCAGGTTATAAATAGATCAGATGGGGCGATGGGGCTGGGGATTTAGCTCTGTGGTTCTGCCGCCTGCCTCTCAAGCACAAGGACCTGAGTTCAATCCTCAGTTAAGAACTATAAACCAAACCAAACCAAAAAGTGAGGTCTTAGGAGATTCTGTAAAGGAAAAGGGAAAAGCAAAGTCTGTAGGGCCACCCACGCTGTGCTCTACTACTGGTTAGCAGGGGGGGGAGTTTAAGGACCAATCAGAGTTACTTGTCCCTGAGCTCCAGCCAATCACAGGAGCTGAACCCTCGTGTTGGTGCGGGCTCCCTGCAGTTAAGGCCCTGGGTAGAAGAGGACCGTTGGGCCCAGACGTCCGCACCCAGGGCAGGTTCCTGATGCACTGCTGCTCACTTGGCCAGTCCAGTCTTGCTGCAAGGCCTCCCTACAAGGAGACCGGCTCTCAGCTCCTGAAAGTTTAGGAGCACCGAGTGTAACTTCCCCCAGAAAATTTCAACCTCTGTGATCACAGAACCTCCTCTTTGGTGAAGGTCGGAGATGGAGGGAGAAGAACTGGAGAACAGGAGGAAAAGAAGAGCGGAAGGTTCACTAAAGGCGGGGGCCCTGGCTTGAACTACTGGAGAGGCTGAGGCAGGAGGATGGCAAATTTCAGGCCAACTTAGGCAACTTAACTAGATCCTGTCTCAAAATACAAATAAAAAATGGGCTGAGGATGTAGCTTATTGGCAGAGGACCCTGTGTTTAATCCCCAGTACCACACACACACACACACACACACACACACACACACACACGAAGCTAATGAGGATGAGGGCTTTTGTTCTAAAAGGGCAGTTATTATTTTAGTCCATTTTCTGACCGGGTCTTGACGGTCAGCATTTGGAGGGCAGGAAGGGGCAGAAGACATTGTTCACTAGAAGAGCCTTAAGTTCAAGCAGCCTTCTTTAACAAACAAATTCTTCCCCTCTCCCCCTCCCCACCAGATTTCCCTTACTCAGCACAGCTTGTCATTAAGAGGCCCAGGGCGCTGGGTGAATTTATAACATTGTGCTGCAAAATAACACCAAGAGGGGGCGCCAAAGCGCTTCTCGGGCTGTGATACCAACTCGGTATCAGCTTCCACTCCCGGGGGCTTCATTACCTGGAGGGGGAATGGAAAACCACTCAGCAAGATGGAAAAGCAGCATAAATGTTACTTGGAGGGCGGTTGGTTTTTCTCCCGAAGATACTGACATGTGTCTCCCTTGTGTATAGTAAAAAGGAAAATGATAATCCTATCAGTCTTGCTATGCGGATGTCTTGCCGTTCTCCTCTGGCTGATGTTAAGATTTCCGAGAAAAAGTAAGTGAATGGTTTCTGCTAAAATATTGATGGTGTTATTACTGATCCGGTTGATCCGGTCCGATGTCAGTGACTAACCTTTCCTTCTGCTTTCGTGAACTTCTGCAGAGTATTCTGCAAATTTAGCTATCTGCTTCACCTTCTAGAGTGATCAGTCAATAAATATTTATTGAGTTCAGGCTTAGTGGTAGCGGCCGATGCTCCAAATGTGATGAGGGAGTGAGGTCTTCCCTGGAAAGTACATTTCTTTAATTGAAGAAACAAGCACATAAGAACACGATTTGTATCTTGCTTCCAACTTGTTCTAACAGCAACACTGAGACAATTTCCGAATATGCCCATTGCTACCGGCTACTCTACTGGCTACAGTCCCAGCAGTAGCAACAGAGCATTCGTGTTCTGCCCTAGGTCCTGAGTGCCTCAGTCACTAGGGTCACTCTAGTGAATCTCTTTGCTACCACATCGTTATTCTTTGCTTTCTCAACGGAGACGTCTCTATATTTCCAACCTTAAACAAAACGAAATCGTTCAGATGTCATTCGCCCTTCAGCTGTCTGTGTTTTGTTTCCTCCTCGGTACAGTAATTTTGAAAATCTTTCCTTGCTAGCTTTTTTTTTTCCTGATCTTCCCATTTCTTTCTTCCTCCCTCAGTCCCACTGAAGCCAGGACCCCATGCGTGCTGTAAGCTGTATGGTCGAGCTTCCATCTTCAGCTCAAGTCGCTAATTTATTGCTAATTTGAGGATGTTCTGGTGCTGGGTGGAAGGCGGAGCCTCAGTCGTGCTGAGCGCGTCTTCTCTCGTTGAAGCTCGCCCAAGCCCTCCTGCTTTTCCATTGAGTCCATTCTAATCAGTCATCCACTTTTTTTTACTTTTTTTTTTTCACCCAGTTTATCTTTCGTGATGATTTGGGGCCTAGGCAGAGGGAATTACTCAATTTCACTAGTCTCTGTATTGCTTGTTCTACTGAGGCAGTGGTTATAAGGGTGACTTCTAAGATATCTTCCTGATCCAGCCGCATCTAAGTATGGGAATTCTCTCTCCTGCCTGGGCTCACTAGGCTATGCTCCATCTATCTGCTCAGGCCTAGGTCTGCCTGGGAGCAGAGTGAGTGCTGAGCAGTCTATGCTAAGTTCGTCCTTTTTCTACCACATGGGAGGAAAGATCTCTCTTCCCACTGGGCCGCAGTTCACTCGGTGTGCAATGAGTCTCTGCAGTTACTTTGGTTACCTTTCTAAACAGGAGTGTTCCAGTTTGGTCGTTGCTAACTTTAGGGATCTACAGTCTGTGATTTCCTGTGGTTCTCCTATCTCCTCAAAGAGCCATGTCTCTGTCACTTTGAGCAAATATTTAGGAAGGACTAGTGAGTGCCGACTGCCTCCAGCCCTCTTGCTTCCATCCTCTGGAGTCTATTTTTAAAAACTTTTTTTAAAAATGAATCAAATGTGTCCACAATTCTGCAATTGACTGTCATTCGTTTGGATTAAAGCCAATCCCTGTCAATGGCTGACTTTGAACTTGGCATTTAAAAGTAATTTTGAACTTGATACAATCAAAAGATTTTGGTGAGCTAACTATTTGCATTTGGCTTTCTTACCAGCTCTCACATACACGGAAACATCTTGTTACTTTATCCTTCCATTTCAGGATCTTCCCATTCATAGATTTTACTATGAGCCTTTCATTTATTTTGGCTTTGGGTGAAAGACACCTTAAACCTTGTTATTACAGAGTTATATACTAACAATTAATTTCCTCTACCTAGTAAGTTAAGGAGAAAAAAATAGATGGTAAAAAGTCAGTAAAATTTCAGCATTTTTTTTCCTTCTAATATACTTTTGTTAAAAGACAAAAGATAAAACTTTCAACTTTTGGGTAAATATTGTATTTGAGACACAGTTGAGTTTCAGTTAAGTCAATAATTTAGAAATAATTCTTTGGGGTTATGAAATAGATAGATTTGTTTGCTTATGGTGAAACTTGTCCCCGATGGCATAGAAAATTTTAGGAATTTAAATAAACTGATAAAAAGATTCCAGAAGCAAGAGCAAGAAAATGAATGGAAAAAATGGCTAGAGGATATGGAAATTCTGGAAGTTTGCTTGTTTACTATTGTTACTTTAAGTTATGGATATAGATTGACATCCTCCAATGCTGATTTCTTTCATGTGCTATTCTTGATATTCACTTGTTCTTGATCAACTCAAAATATCCCTCTGGGTTGATGTTTAAAGTTAAATCATTCAAACTGAATGAGAAAGCAAAATCATCTTATCACCACAAAATATCTAAAAATAATTTACCTGGAAGATCAGACATTTCCTCTTACACTTTCTTTTTTGTCACTGTTAATTTTAGTTGGAATTAAAATGATGAGTAAGAATTGCACAGATGATATGCGGATATGTCCACCTGCCTGGGACCTAATCAGTCAAAAGTGCTTCTTTCAATCTGAACATGAAACGACTTGGGTGGAAGGACAGAGGCACTGCAGAAAATATCTTGCATCTCTGGCCAAGATCGTCTCCTGGAATGACATGGTTCGCTTCCTTCTCAATACACACCCAACAGTCCACAAAGCCACTCTATGGGAAACGTATTTGTCGGGTGTGATCTCCTAGTCAACAAAGAAGTCAAAGATCTTTGTCCATATGGGGAGTACATCCTACAGGCGGGGTCAGGCCATGAAAAGTAGTCTTAGTAAAAATGTAAATTAGTATGTTGGAGACTAGTAAGCTGTGTGCAAAAGTGTACAAATGAATGGCTTTTTTTTTTTTTTTTTGGTCACCAAGTGGATAGGTTGCGTGCAAAGTGATAGCTCTTTAAGATTATATCTGAGCCAAGATGTAAAGCAGGTGGAGAAGTTAGTCGAGGCAGTGTCTAGGGAAGTCTGCCCAAAAAAGAAAACACCTAAAGGGCAATCTTAAGGTCAGGGCTGAAATGCCAAAGGAACAGAAAAGAGGCGGCCAGTCAGTGTGTCTAAAGTAAAGGGAGGGTGGGGATGTGTATCACAAGGGCTTTGTAGGCCATTGTAAAGACTTTATTTTCTTCTTCTGAGCAAAGTAAGATGTTTCAGAATTATAAGCAAAATTATGATATGCTTTCATTTCAGTGTTAAAAGAATCATTTTCCTTGCTGCTATGAGATTGGCACTGGGTGGCAAAAATAAAGGCAGGAAATTCCACTACCAGGCAGTTGCAGTAAACCGAGTAAAAGAATAATGACTCAGACAAGTAGAGTAGCAATTAAGAAATGAGAAAAGTAGGAGAGCTCTATGACAATACTTTTTATTTCATCACAGGAACTTTTGGCAGACTATCTGAATTCCTCCTCTTCATATTGGATTGGACTGAGAAAACACAATGTGGACAACATCTGGCGATGGATGGATGGAAGTCACTTTAGCAATTGGTAAGCCTTAGTAACATTTGCTTACCATAAAATGCATCCAGCATGGTATTACTTTTGAGTCCATGAGCAGCTATCCCGCAGTTTCCTCTCCCCTAACAGGTCCCCAACAGACATACACCAAAGAGAGCATCCAGAGAGCTCGACTTTGTCCGGTGAAGGTTTCCTCAAAGGCCACCATTTACTTCCATGAGCAGAACTTGACTATTCCATATGTGAGGCACAAGCATTCCCTTTACCCCAGACTTCCTGCAAGTCTAAGTGGTTTGGGCCTCGGCTCTTTCTCTTGGGTCTTAGCCATTTGTATGTATTTATTACCTGGGTCATTTATTTAACTTCCTTGTCAATGCGTGAGTGCTGAATGATGTAGTGAAGCCTACATTTTTGCACAAATGTGAGGGGCATGGAAAGCAAGGGAAGGAAATGAGTGGGAAGACAAAGTGCTTGTTTACTTAAAACCCCAGAGCTCATTTATGTTCCTTAGATTAATTTTACTCTTAGATTCCAGTTTTTTGTTCTAGAAATACTTAACAGTTTTCCTAACTTGAATGGCTACTTTGAAGAACAATGTATTCTCCATAGAGAAACCATTAGGTACCATTTGCAGAGTGGCTACTTCATGACAAACATTTGTCCTATGGCAATAATATAAGATACTAGGTGCTGTGTTTTA